GCCGCTGTGCGGGGCCCGACACCTCCAGGGGCAGCGGGGCAAGGGCCAGCCTGTGAAAACCTGCGAAACTCCTCCCTCTGGGAACCCCCTTTTTTCACACCCTGAATTTATCAAATAAGGACTGTCCGCTCATACAGAAATACTGATTTTTAATTAGACACCGATAAATGGTAAACTGTTGACATGGATCCCCTTGCTTTCCCACACGAAAATCAGTAAAACTGCGTGGACAAGGCACAGTTTTGAGTTTTCGCACTTGCAATACAAAAAGCATATGAAATGTGTTCAACAAAACAATACAGCTTTTTTATTTTCAAAAGATTGTATAAAAACCCGCAAGACTTTCAACATCAAAAATCCTTAACCTAAAAAAATAGCACCAGGGAGAGTTAGAAACCTTTAAAAAGCATTAAAAAGGCATTTCTGAAATCTACCTCTCCTTACGTTTTTAGAAAGACATAATAAAAGGCAGCTCTTACAGGGAAAATAAATTCAAGGAAGACTTGTCTACTACAATTCTTATCAAGTAAGCTTAATGCCAAGACAATTCTCATTCCTCTTTTATCTTTGTTTACTTTCCCCAAGTCCTTTTTTTTTTTCTCTTCCATTTATTTTTCTTTTGATCAGATAGAAAAGGATGTGAGATCTGGAGTATGAAATTAGAGACGCCATCGAGCGGAGGTTACGTGTTAGCCCAGTTTCGAAAAATAAAATCTGTCAGAGGATCCCAAGGCAGAGGACGGCCGTCACCCCCGCGTCGGGCTCCGTACGGGGACTGGGCGGACAAATTAGTGTTGTGTCTTGGGTCCAGGCTGGGCATAAGGATCAGAGTTTGGTGAGGGGTCCATGGAGTATGAAATTAGAGACGCCATCGAGCGGAGGTTACGTGTTAGCCCAGTTTCGAAAAATAAAATCTGTCAGAGGATCCCAAGGCAGAGGACGGCCGTCACCCCCGCGTCGGGCTCCGTACGGGGACTGGGGGGACAAATTAGTGTTGTGTCTTGGGGCCAGGCTGGGCATAAGGATCAGAGTTTGGTGAGGGGTCCAAACCCAGCCGGCACGGTGGTGGTGACGCCAGGCTTCCCCAACACCTCCAGCACCCGCAGAACCCACCTGGGCGTCTTCCCAGTCAGGGGGCTGGTGACAAAGGTGGTGAGAGGGTGCTGCTTGTCCCCGAGCCCTTGCCGAGCGTCGCGGATTTTGCGTGGATGCCAGCGGGGACACAGAGGAGACGAGCCCGCTTGGCTTTCTCCAGCGTTTTCTTAACTAAGGTGTGCGGCTCGAACGTGCATCACTTGAGAACGAACCCCTGTGGGAAGACTAAAGAGTAACCTCTGGGCAGGATCAAGAGAAAAAAAAGCCTTTAAGCGACCTGGGCTTCCCTTCCTGCCCATTCCCGAGTGCAACCTTGGGTTGGAGACCGACAGAAGACGGTCCTCAGAGCCTGGGGACAGGGTGGAAAGCCACACACCGGCAGCTCCACGCCAACAAGAGTGGAAAATGGGAGGCTGCCGTCCTCCACCGCCTGTCAGGGGGGTGCAAGGGGGTCCCCATGTGTTAGAGAGGTAGAAGAAGCCAGGAGAGAAGCTTTTATTTCCCACTGATGCCATACACCACCTTGTGAGACAGCCTGGCAGGGTTGGCCCGTGGTTTGCACCCAATTAATTCTGAGAAGGCACCCAAGGGCTCTGCCAAACCCAGGTGACAGGTTGTAGTGAACAGCAGAGGTAGGGGAGGACAGAGGGACCGAGAGGGGAATGTCATGAGTTGTTTCAGTGCATTGAAATGTGCATTGGAGCCAAGAGTCCCTGGGAGACGCCGGCCGGGACAGCA